CCCCCCCCCCCCCCCCCCCCCCCCGCCGGGCCCCAGCTCGTCCAGGTATCGGCCCGTCGGGCTGCTACTCTTCCCCTCCAGCAGCTGCTTGGCGCCCTCCGCCACCGCCGCGTTGCCGGCGGCTAGGGTGGCCGCCTCGAGCGTCTCGGCCGGAACGCCGGCCGTCGGCGCCACCAGGCCGTAGCCGAACGCCGAACGGAGAGCGTCGCGCATGGCAGCCTCCACCTAAAAGTGGTGAAACGCGCGCGCGTGCATAGTAGGGTGCATGGGCGGCGTGCTACGTGCGTGCTGCGCTTACCGAAAAGTCCAACGCCGGGTGGAGAGCGTCGCGCATTGCAGCTTCCACCTTTTGGAAAATCGAACGTGGTGTCGCATGCGTAGTAAGGCGTGCGAAGCGTGTGTGCCTGGCTTACTGAATTTGCCCACCCAAGAAAGAGATAAAGAGAGCACGCACGATGTGTTTACTCCTGTTGTTGGCGTGTCCTGTACTGGAAGGAAGGAGTACGGCGGTTCACATTCATCAAGAAATGTTTCTGTCGTCATCGTTCGGTCCTGGGTAAAACATACTCCCCATTGACCCAGACCCTGCGGGAGGGCGCAGAGGTGCACTAATACCGTATGTTGCTTAATCGTTTCGTCTAGACCCTACGCGTAGGAGAAGAGGCTCGAGACAGAGATGGCCAGGATCGCGGCATTGGAGACGTATATGGGAAGGCTGCTGGGGATTTATACCGGAGGTGGGCCCAGGAGATTAGATGGGGATGGAAGGGCCCAAAAGCATCATTATTTCGAAAAGAGATAGGCAACACGCACCGTGCGTACGTAGGAAACAATCGGCACGTGGGAGCAGCCACAAGCACAAAGTCCACAAGCACCACACACCGCCGCACCTGCGCCCTCGGGTCTAGACCTTTCAGCCAGGCCGATTTCGGCCACGCCGGCGCTGCTGCTGCTGCCGCAGCCGCCGCCACCTCGGGTTCGTTCTCTTCGGTGTCGCCGCTGTTGCTCGAAGAAGCAGACGCCTTGGCCAGCTTCGCCACCGTCTCCGCCGCCGCTGCTGCCGCNAAGTCCTTGCTCTCTGCACCGAGCGCGGCCCAATCTTGGACCTGTCCCTGCCGACGGCCCCCGCCACCAGACCCAGAGCCACCAACGCTCTGCCCTCCTCCTCCTCCTCCTCCTCCTCCTCCTCCTCCGCCTCCGCCTCCTCCTCCTCCTCCTCTTCCTCCTCTTCTTCCTCCTCCTCGTCATCTTCCTCCTCCTCTCCCTCCACCACCGGCGACGGGCCGGCGGGCAGGTAGTCGGAAAACTTGTCCTTCGGGAAGAACCCGAAGAGGTTCCACCCCGCGCCGCCGACCGCCTGGGGGGCGCTGACCTCGCTCGTCGTTGTCGCGTCTCCTTTCCCCACCCCCACGGACGCGGCGACCCCCCCCGCCCCGCCACCCACCGGCTCTTGTGGGCCCCTGCCGCTCGAAGATGACAGCGCGGTCTCCTGTTCTTCCACCGGTGGCGATAGGAGCTCGGACGGGGTGAGCGACATGATGCTCGTGTCCACGCTCGCCAGAAGGGGCTCGGCACGAGCACGTGACCTGCGCTTCAAGAGTGTCCACAGCCTCGCCCTCCTCGACATCGTCGCCGCCCTGTCCACCAAGCCTGCTACCCCCTGCCGAGCGCGCGAACCGGAGCTGGTCGTCCCCGCCGCCGGCGGCTCCTGCGGCGGCGGGTTCGGCCGCGGCTCCGGCGGCACCAACGCCCCCTCTTCGGCCGGACGAGCCAGTTGGAAACTAGCTGGACTCTTAGTAGCGTCCACGAGCGAAAGCGTCCCCTGTTGCCGCCCCTCCTCCCCTTGTCGTCTTCGCTGCTCTTCCTCCTTCTCATCCTTCAATAACAATCCCGGCAGTCTGTTAACGGGTCTGTAAAGCGCGGCCCCGACGCCAACGAGCACTGCGGCCCCTGCCTGCCACCAAGGCACGCCGCCGCCACCGCCACCGCCGCCGCCGCCCTGTGCGCCGTTGGCGCCTTTGGAGGCAGGCGGAGAAACCTCAACCGACGCCCACTCGCCAACACTGTTCCTCTTGTACGCCTGATCGGGCGAGTCCTGCTCCTGCGCGTCCTCACTGCGCGATTTTTTCATCAAAGGGAGTCGAGTTGCGACCCCGCCGGCCGTCGTAGCGAGGGCACGAAAAACGCTCATTCTCCTCGCTGACAGCTGCTGCTGCTGCGCCTCTTCTTGCTGCCCTTGGACACCCCTTGTCGCCTCGGTTTTCCCCCCTTGTTCGTCTGCCGCAGCAGCAGCCGACGGCGACCAGCCCGTACCAGCAGAGGCTGCACCCACCCCCGCGACCTGCCTTCCGCTACTACTGCCGCCGCCGTCGTCAGTGGCGGCCGTCACCCGCTCGCTCTCTCCATCCGGTAAGCCGCTCATGTTGGAGACTAAGGATTTTCCCCAGCGATAGCCCGGCGGTCGCCACGGCGCGCGGCCGGCGGGGGCTGGTCCGGGACTGCTGCCGTCAGTCCGCCGCAGCGCTGCAGCGGCCGGTGGGAGCGAAAGCGTCGGGGCAGCAGAACGCGGCGGCGCAGCGGGTGCGCCGGCCACGCTCGTGAGGGGAGCAGCTTCATGCGCGGTGCAACTCCGCTTCGTTGTTGCCCCTGGGGCACCGGCTGTCGTCGTCATCGTCGTCGTCGTCCGAAGGAGCCGAGAGCCGAGCACCGTCCCGACGATGGCTTCTTTCACGCGGGAAAAGCTGCGGCCACCGCGCGTAGGAGGCCCGCTATCGCTCACCCCCTCTTCTCGCGGCAGGTCAGGAGGAACCGTAGGCAAACTCAAGGGAAGCTCCTTGCTTGCCCCCATCATCACCCCTTCTTGGTCTGGAGCGGCGGCCGCCGGACTCGTGCTCTCCGGAGTCCACGGCCAGCCAAGCTTGACGCCGAGCTTTATCATGCCCAGCATCGAATCCACGATTCGACTCGCCTCTTCCGACATCTCCGCCTGCTGCTGCTGCAGCTGCGGCGACACGACCTTCTCGCCGAGGGCAGCGACTTGAGACCACAGCCACCCGAGGTTGATCGCGTACAACACCGCATCGACAACCTGGTTTCCTTCTTCGGCCTCCTGCTGCTGCTGCTGCTGCTGGCTTTCCTTGCTCGTTGAGGGGGCGGGGAGTGGTTCCAGCGGAAAAGGTGGCGGTCGCGGCGCCGAGACATCGCTCGGCTGTCGTGCCGGCGGGAGCATGGGAAGCGAAGAGGTTGAGGAGCCCCACGATCCAGGATTGCGTTGCTGCTTGCCGCCGGTGCTCCTTTCACTCCCCAAGGGAGCCGCTACCATCGTCGCGCTCGCTGCGTCAGGCGCTATGGCAGGCTCGCACGTGTCTGGAACGGCCTGCTTCCGGTTGTGCCATGGAGGTCTTATCCATTTCCAGGTCCCCCGTCTATCTTCCACTGGCGATACTTTTGCTGCTGCTGCTGCTACTGCTGGTGGTTCTGCCTCCACATCGTTGCCGAGGGGGACACGTTCGGGGGCCGTTGCCTTCGACAGCAGTGGGCTGCCACTACTCACAGGGCGAGACGGCTTTTTCTTCCTCCTCTTCTTGGTCTGGCCTTGCTGCTGCAGGCCAACACGTGGTAGCGGCTTGATCGACTTCGATACCTCGGCCAGTCGAACAAAAGCAACACCGAGGTTAGCGTTTTTGTCCGCACCTCCCGGTTGTACGTCTGGAGGCATTTTGACTGTGTTTTGTCCACTTTCGTCCCCGTTACCGCTGTTGTCGTCAGCAGTGGTAGTGGCGCTGGTACTTGTGCTGTCGTTGCTGTTGTTGCCGTTGCTGTTGCCGTTGCTGTTGCTGTTGCTGTTGCTGTTGCTCACAGCACTCATGCCCATCCTGCCTTCCGGTTTGAACGGCCTTCGACCAAACCCACTGCCCCCACCCATGCGCACTGAATACGACACGGCAGGAGAGACTCTGGTCGTGGGTCTCACTGACAAGGGTGAGCTGACAACGCCCTTCCGAGCGATGGATTGACACGCGTGCTGCTGCTCCTGGGTGATCCGAACCACGTCAGGTGATCTCGGCAGCCTTGGGGCGCAAACAAACGCAGAGATTTGCCCGAGCAACGTTGCTCCTGCACCTCCAACAAGGCACAAGAGCAGGAGTTCCCATGCCGCCCACATGGTCCTCCTTTACACATATTATTATGTCCGCCCGCCCTCCCTGCTCGTGCCTGATCTGTTTTGTAGAGGATCGTTGGCGTGTGTGTGCGGAGTAACTACTCCCGGTTGGTGCGAAACGCATTTCACGAAGATACGCAGATCTTCCCGCTCGTCCTTCTTGTTCCCGTTCTTGTCCCCATGCTTCTCTCTCTCCCCCTCTCTCTCGTCACCTTCTCATCTCCCCTCCACTCTGTACCGATGCTTGAGGTACAAACATAGTTTCTGTCCGAGTATGGTTGTGGTGTCGTGTGTCGTGGAGTCCAAGTCTACATGTACGACATTGACGTGTCGAGGGAGGGCGTTGGTGAGTACTGCTCCGCAAAGATCACACCTCTTCGAACGAATGGCACACCTCATTTTAGGCTATCTCCTCCAAGAGACTTGGATCGCCAAGTCCATAGCAACGCAAAGTTTGCCCGCATAACACATCGAGATGATTTGAAACGGATTTTTCATGATGTAGTTTCTCCTGTGTACGATCCCGAATTTCCTCCTGACATCTTACAGTGCACGCAAGCCGCATTTGCCTAAAGAGCTCTCTCTGAGCGTGGCTCTTAGACGGAACAATGGGGCAACGAAGAGGCGAAACCAAGCATAAAGTTGAAGGTATCGCTGTTTTCGTTCGAGTGCGAAGCACTGGTGGTTCGCAAGATGAACAAGGGGACAGCTCGCAGGTGGGCCGAAATAAGAACCCGTTGGGAGTGTTTACGATTTGATACAAGACAAACACCAACAAACCAGCGGAAGTGATGCATGTAGTTCAATGACAGGTCTCCTGCATCGGCTGCATGACTTTCACCTACTGAAATATGCTTCTGCTAGTACAAAAGCTCACCTCGTGTGTCGTGCTTCTCATCAACCCTGGTCACAGCAGGCGGTCGAGATTAACGAGGACGGGACGAGCGTGTGTGTTCGGGACGCTGACAGACCAAACAAATCGATCGAGTGTGCATTCGACAAAGTTTTTGGCTGTAGCTCAACCCAGGACGACATCTTCCTCGGGCTCGTCCCTACATTGGACACCGTCGTACGGGGTTTCAACGCGTGCGTTCTTGCGTACGGCCAGACAGGATCCGGAAAGACCCACACACTAATAGGTACCGAAGCGCGGGAAGCAAGTGTACAATCGGATGGATGAGAGGATTGATCTTGGCTGTGCGGGTGCTTTCACAATCGGAAAATTCGACTGGCTTTCAACAAGGCACATTGCACCTGGAGCAGTAGGTGTACATCGCGACAACCCCGTGTGTTGTTTATCATACCATGATCTTTTTCGGATAGACTAGTGCTATTGAAGCTCCTGTGTATTGTATGATGGTTTTATGGGAACAACGTGTCGCGTACAAAGATTCTTCATGTTGACCCAAAATGCATTCATGCACGACCCTCTTCTTCTCAACTCAAAGGACCTGGCGGCGGGACACGACTCTCGGACGATCAGACGGAATGGGGCATTATCCCCCGAGCGGTACAATTCCTGTTCGACCGTCTCAACCGCGAATCGGAAGAGGATGAGACCTTCTCTTACTCGGTGACGTGCTCTTTCCTGCAGATCTACAACGAAAACTTAGTCGACCTCCTCCTTCATAGCGAAGGGGCAGCGGGAGCCGCGCCCCTCCAAATCAGAGAAGAGGCCGGAGGAGGGGACCGAGGGGGAAGAGGCGGAGGGGGGGGGCACAGGAATAGTGTTTCTAGTGGTGGACGACGTCCATGGAGTAATGAAAGTAGTCGTGGTGGAGAAGATGAGACTGGTTATATGAATCGGGAAGACGTGCTTTTTGGCGCCGGCTGCGGTAAAAAAAATCGCGCAAGTCCTGTTCCGAAGGGAGGAAAAGCGAACGTTTTCGTCAACGGGCTTTCGTCGTTTCGAGTTGGAGGAGCGCAGGACGTGCTACGCTACGTGAACCTTGGCGCTGCCAACAGGCGAGTGCGCGCCACGCAGCACAACGAGGCTAGCAGCAGAAGCCACGCGGTGATGCAGCTTACAGTGGAAGTGAAGAGTGGGGGGCGGGGCGGCGAAGAGGGCGGTGGTGGTGCCAGCGACCACATAACGTACCGGCAGGCCAAGCTCAGCTTGGTCGATCTCGCGGGGTCTGAAAAGATGGACTCAGCACTGAGCATCTCGAAGGGACACTTCAAGGAGCTACGTAGCATCAACCAGAGCCTATCCACGCTAGGAAACGTCGTGTCCGCACTATCGGAGAAGGGGAGAACCCACGTGCCGTACAGGGACTCCAAGCTCACGAGGCTCTTGCAGGACTCTCTGGGCGGGAACACGAGGACCACAATAATCGCGTGCATTAACCCTCTCGCGGGGCAGACCCACGAAACGATAAACACTCTTCAGTTCGCCGATCGCGCCAAGAAGGTGGGAGGGGTGTTGGGCGATTCCTGACAGCTTTTCCGACAACATTTCCTTGTTCCTCGTGGTGAAACTTTGCTACGGTGAACGCCGTGGCGGCGGCCGGTAGGAGAGAAAGTAGAGCAAAACGCCCGTTTCTTGGCCCCCGCTTGTTACTCTCTCTCAATGAGTTCAAGTAGGACAGCTCTAACGTGAGAGCTCGTTCGCCATTGCTTGTTTCGCAGCCACATGTCTCCGGCGCACAGAAACACCAAGTTCTGCACACCACCCCATCTAAATATCAACCCTTTTACGTAAACAGTATACAGATCGTACCTAAGCAGACAAAACTACACCTCTCGCCCCCGAATCTCTCTACCCTCTAGGCTATCCTCTACTCTGTTTTCGATCCCAAACGCCTGCTGTGCACCATTCATTTCACCATGGTTCGTTCACAAAGTGGTTGTGCGAAGCCCAACGTACTCAACTAATTACGGGTCGCAGGTGATGGTGCGTCTACGGGCGAACGAGGTCGTTGACGACAGGGTGCTGCTGGCCCGAGCCCGAGCCGAGATCAAGCGCCTGAAGAAGCGTCTCCGCGAAGTCCTCGAAGACGCACTACTTGGTACGGCTGCAGAAGACGACGGTGACAATGGACACTGCCCCAACGAATCCAGCCGAAGTTGCCACAACCACGACAGAAACAGAACACCTGTGGAAACGAAACCTTGCCCGGAAACTGTTGACGACGTTAGCCCCGGCGGTGCTGATGGTGGGTCGGCAAGAGGAGCCAAAGAGGAGGGTGATAAAGGGGACTCCATGACGACATCGACGGTGGCCAAAAACGCAGCAGCGGGGCACAGTTGTTCATCGACCGTAGCTGGAAGCGAAGAGTCTTCGCGAGTCTCAGAATCACCACCATCACCATCACCATCACCATCATCGGCAGCAGCAGCAGCAGCAGCAGCAGCAGCAGCAGCTACAGCTGTCCAGAAGCGCAAGGCCGCCAAGCTCATCGCCGAGAACGAAAGCTTGCGGGAAGATAACGCCCACCTTAGGGAAGATGTTAAGCGCCTCACCCTCCAAAGCAACAAGCAACGGTTGAAACGGCAGCGTCGGCATCCGAACAGCATCACGGGCGGCGGCGCGCGGAGCGTAGGAGGCAGGCCGCCGTCTTCCCCAATCGACTGGAGCGCGAGGTATGCCGCCGCAGCTGCCGACGCGCGGCGTCGAAGGCCGGCATCATCGTCGTCGTCTCGTCACCCAGATGACCCCGCCCGGAGAGCGTCGTCGTCGCCATCGCGCGGTGTGGTAATGGGCAGAAGGAGGAGCGCAAGTCCAAGTAAGGCGGCGGCAGCGGTGCCTTCTTCGGCGGCACGTCTTCCTAAGTTTTGGAAGAGGCAGTTCGCTGTGGACGGAGGCCGAGGACAAGACTCGGGAGGTGAAGGCGAGCCTGTAGAGGATGTGCTCACGGCGGAGGAGGTTCGGATTATTGTTAGTTACATCGCGGAGGCTGAAGGGGCGCCGGGCTCGCCGGAGCAAAAGGTGCAGGAGGAGCAGGATGCAGAGGACGCGAAGCAGCTCGCCATGTTTCGTCGCGAGATCCAAGAAGGGGTTGTCAGCGGAAGCTTGGTAAAACGAAGTGGTGGGGGTGGAAGAGGGCGAGGAACAGCAACCGTTCCGGTAAAGAACGGGGCTTTCGAAGGGGCAGATGGCGACGGTGACAACGACGGCGACAACGTCAACGGAAACCCTGACGAGCAAGCAGATATAGAAGTGTTTATTGATCAATCTCAGAGGCTCGAGGACTTGATGTTCGAGGCCCAGGGCAGAGAGAGGCGCCGGCTTCGTGGTGAGAGACGTCGTCTTGCCTCTGTGAGAGCTCAAAGACATGCATTAGAAGCTCAGCTGGCGGAGTTGATGGCGGGAGCCGGCGGGGGGGTTGTCGATGTCCGTGTTGACACGTCGGACTCGCGAACCACCACAACACTTACCACCAATACCACCACCGCAACATCGTTGGAAGGTACGATTGAACCGAGCGTCGCGCGGTTTCATCCTACGTCATCAACCTGCACCGATGCAAACGGAGGCCAAGCAGTAGAAGAAAATGTTAAAGTTCAGCAACTCCAAGACCAGCACAAAGATCGACGAGGACAACAACAACAACAGCCACCGCCGTGTTACGACGGAGCCCTCGCAGCACCAGACACGTGCAGCTTGATGGTGACGGTGACACCACCCGTCCTCCGGGCACTTGGAACGAAGGAGAAGGGCATCGGCATCAATGTCGACGACGACAAGGGCCAAGCAAGGACCGGCTGGACCGAACAATCCAGTAGAACGACAAGGGGAAGTCATTCGATGACGAACGTCAACCCCACCCCCACCCCTGCCACCACCGCAACCACGACGGCGATGATGATGGCCGTGCTAGCATCCCCTGAAACAGCAACAGACGGTTGCGAGATTAATGACCCCCACAGACTAGCGAACAGCACCAACAGCAGTGGTAGCAACGACAACTCTGCGGTGGAGGCGCTTGCGGGGGAAAGGGTGCAACGAGCGGTGCCCGCGATCAAGCCCCCCCTCGAGCGACGGCGGCAGCAGCGGCAGACCGGAACTCAGAATCAGTCCCCGATTTCCTCGTCGCCATCGTCCTTGCACGGTCACCCTTTCCCGTCCCCGAGTGTGCAGCGCCGGCGACCGGCGACCAGCACGGGAGGGCCGCCCACCGGCAGGAACAGAGCAAGGTCGAGCTCGCGGAGAATCTACCACAAAAAAGTTGGAGGTTCCAGGTCCCCTGTGCGAGGAAAGCCGTCGGCGTTTTTAGAGCCGACGTCTTCTCAGGTGGGACCACACGACGGTGGCGGCGAGGAACCCTGGCCACGGCGGCGCCAGCAAGGGAGGCTGGGAAGTGGCGGTAGTGATGGCGGCCGTGGTTCCTCAGCAAAGGTTGCAGCGACGCATCCACGTCTCGCACGATCGTCGCCAAAGCAGAAACAGAGGTTTGGTCAGGAGTTCCTCGGGGCCGATACCGACGACCAGAGGAAGAAGGGCCTTTCGTACAGTGTGGCGGATCTAGGGCTCCGACTGAAGGTGCGAAATGGCAAGCTTGTAGTAGCGTGTACCCACGCTTTTTTTTATGTAGTTCAAGGCGCCCGGGGGGACGGGGGTACATTGGAAACTGCGGCCCGCAGTGGGAGATGACTACCGTAACTTCGTTTGGTTGCTGAACGTCTCTTCGGCCCAAGAGTCGCACAGGAATATTCCCTTTCCCAGGCCCCCATATTTTTCTTTGCTTTCTTCGCATATTTCTTCGCATATTTGGTGGTGCCCCGGAACACCCGGCCTCTCTTTACGGGTGATGGAGAACGCCACGGTCGGGTATTTTATTGTCATCACCGTATCCAGAGCCGGTCGCCCCGGTGGTCTAGTTGGTATCCCCGAAACCTTCTATTAATAGAGGTCAGGTTAGGGATTCGAATCCCGGCGTAAGCGAGCTTTTCTTGCAAAGTGAGTTTTCTCTCGCTACCGCTCCTGGCCTAGTGGATAGCGCTAGTTTGTGTGTACACAGAGGGAAGAGAGTGCTGAACTCTTCTCGCATTAAAAGTCGAAGGCAAAGTACCGCAGGAGGGGAGGGTAGAGAGGGGCTCTTCGGTGTGACCACGGGTTGGAGTAAACGGCACCAGTGCTGTGAGCGCTGATTTGAAGTGAAGACAAAAAAAAAAATCCATCCAAAAATTGCCGTTTAGGGTCGGTCAGTGTTACTGACTTCGTCTTCTGGTGGGTGGATGGCTGACATGTGATGATGGCATTGGGGTGATGGGGTATCGTAAATCCCCGCCCCGCTTGTCAGCGTAATCCGAATGCTAGAAGACCCACGCTACACGTTTAGGGCACTCTTGTCCAACAAGCTATCCACTCCGGTATCGGGAAACCGTCGCGTTTCTACGTCTTGCTCGGTGTCGCTGGATTACTCACGCTTCCTGATATCGGACGACTCACCCGCTGTTGTGTGCATGCCCGAATCTTGGACGCAACGGTAACAACAGGTGTATTCCTTTCGCTACGACCACTACTACGAGTGCCAGGTAAACCTTCCTTTCTAGAATAACAAACTCGGGAGTGTACGACTTAAGCACTTCGCACATAGACCGTGACAATAACGGTTTTATACAGCACCAGTGACTGGGTGTTACCAAAGGTCTAGGAAGTCGGCAAGTCTACTTCATTCATTTGTAGTGTGGTGGCTGTTTTGACCGAGATCATATGCGTGTATCAATGTCTTACCTCACAAATGGTACCTGTTGATTCTAGTTTCTTTTGCTGAAGGTCAGCAGTGCTGTCTGGTGCCCACTTGTCTGTCATAGGAGAAAGTACGAGGTGGCACCACTCCTCACGAACCGTCCGTAACGCTGGCGTGAGTATGCCATCTTTCGTTTTGCGCCGGTTTTGCACCGTATCGCAGCTATCACCCGTGTCTGTCCGTGTAGATCTGTCGAATGAAAACACACATACTGCTGTTGTCGTTCAACGGATATAAAACAGACGTTGCAAAACCGTTACCAATCTCAGGTTGTTGGATACGACTCAAGGCGGAGGATGCACCGATGCGCGTACGACGCGACGGGCGAAAAACAGTGGCATGACCTCGCCAGCAAGCGCTTCGAGGTTGTCGGCCAGAACGGAGTGATCGTACGCAACACCGAGAGCGCGCCACCAGCACCGGCGAGCTTTGCAACGACTGCTACCAACGCTACACCATCGCTGCTGCTACCGACGTCCCCAAGCAATGTTGTGGGTGCCATGACCAGAGAATGTGGTGGTGGACAGGGCGCACCCGGACGGAATAACATGAATAAGACGTAGTGGGTTTTCGATATCATATTTCCGTCCGTAGCATGAGTCGTGTGCGGCTTCGTTTCCGCTGTTTGAATCCTCAACCTTCGAGACACAGATTCCCAAGGAAGGGACCGATCGAGGACTTCGTGATGGCTTGTGACAGCCTCTCATTGGCTCCTTGTCGCAAATACGCGAGGTGGGGCCGCGCTCACCGGCCTTGCACATAAAAGTTTGTTCCCCGATGTACCGCAGCAAAAACCTCAGCGTGTTGTTAGTAGCAAGTGTTATGTTTCTGATCGCTGCTTCAGTCTCATTGTTCTCAGACGCTGTTGTGATGAACGCGTGACCCTACAACATGCGTGTGCCAACATGCACGGGACCCAATTTTGGTGCAATAACGGTGCACTCGGATTGACGGCGGCGTCGAAATGATAGTCTCGGTAAGTAGGCACACATTACAAACCTGTGTCATCGCCAAGATATACCAGTAGACTATGTGTAGTCTAGATACATGCACCTCCATCTCACATCATCATTACATCACCATCACTATCACATCATCATCATCACCATCATCGAGCGGGAACGCCCACATCAGTGTGTGCAGTACAACAGAGTGTGCTGTGAAGTTGATGGCGGTTGTGGATGGAGCTCAGCCAATGAGTAGCGAACGACGCGGAGGAAGCTCGCAAGCTGCCGCCCCGTCTGTAGCATAGACTTGGGCCAATCAAAAGGCCTCGACTCGCCACGCCTACCTTCACCTTATCCTCTAGACCATGTTTTCTGGACAGGGCTGCGTAGGCTTTTGGGCGTACAGCGCCTACAGTAATTATGTACTGCACTTGGGACGTTATCAGCGGAGCCACAGATAGTCTAGACTATAATGAAAGCGACTGAGGGATTGACATCGAGTAAATAATGCCAATGAGACAGACTACTGCTGTTGTTGGTGCAATGACGCATAGCGCGCGCGATACTGCTGTACTGGCGCAGCTGTACTGACGTGACGGTGGAACCCAAAAAGTTCGTAACAGACAACACACAGACGACTGGACGACTGGACGACTGGACGACTGGACAGACGCACCACGCCAGCACGACGCACAGATTGCAGCTCTGCAGCTCTGCAGCTGCAGAACTGAACCAGTTTCGTTGGTTCTCGTTTCCCGGTTCCCGAGGCGGCACCGGAAAAGGTATTCCTCCGCATTCGACACCGTTGAAACGGAACCGGTTGCTGTTCGGCGTTCTCTCGGCGTTCGGCGTTATCAGATGAAGGCTACCTCACTCTCACCTCACTAGACCACTCCGTCAGTGATTGATAACTGGTCGACTGGTCAAATAGCTTAGCCTTTATCGAACAAAAGATACCGCCACGGGTCCGAAAAAGGCGTGCATGGGCTTCCACAAAGCGCGCGAGCGCGTGTGTGCCCTTCGTCCTGGGCCTGGATAACCCACTGACACGTCGCAAGGTTTAGTGTAGACCGCCGCTGGCCTGCGTGGTAGTGCCGGCTTGTCGATGGCCTTGGGGATGCGGGTGTCGCCAAGCGCCGGGGATGGAGATACTGATCATGCCGCCTCTTTCCTCCGACAGTTCGGGGCTCTGGTGCGCAAGAACTTCCTGAGCAAGCGGCGCGCCAAGCTACAGCTGGTGGGTAGTCATCCCGCTTTGTGTATCTTTTGTGCACGTCTTTGGCCTTTCTATCTTTGCGTGAGGCTGCTGTATCGAATGACTGATACAAGAACGACGCGAGTGAAGCGGGGAATTGATGTAGCATGAAGAAAAATTCTGTCAAGAGAAAAAGGCTACGAAACACAGCTACAGCTCAATCTCAGCCACAACATAAGAAACGTCCCCAAAAAAGAAACATGATCGTGCGATCCCCTATGAAGACAAAGAAACAAGGGGTAGAAGCTGGGGGAGCGTGTCCATTAAAAACGTCCCACTGCTGCTGCTGCCGCTGCCATGCTCCCACCTACCTAGCTCATATCATGCAATTTTTCGGTAGGGGGGGAGAGGGTTAGTTTCGCGGCGCACCCCGCGGCCCAGCGCCGCCGCGGGCTGCGGTATCCACTGCTGCTGTGCTGCCACAACCCCCAGTGTTCGCCACATCGAGCTGTCGGTTTAGTGCTGCATGAAGACTTGGTGTGTGGATGTTTTCTTCGCCAGAAATAAAAAAATTGGAAAACAAGAGACTCAGCAGGATGCGACAGCCCAAAGGAATAACAAGTCCGTTTTAGGGAGAATACTGCAACGGCGCCGGCTTCTGCCTCTGTCGGTAGCCTGCGTCCTCAAAATTGGCCGACTTCGCTGGTCCTTCTGCCCGGAAAAAAAAATGAGACTCGATCCGATTATTACTCTTCCTATCTCCGGGCCCTATCTAACACCCTACAGCGGAGCTGAAGTCAGTACGAACTTCCGCTTTGGAGCGCTCCAAAATCCCACGAAGATGCAATTCGGGCAATCAGACATGTTCACACAAGTTCACACACTTGCTTCTGTTGGTCTTGCCGTCTTCGTCTTTCTATTATTTGTCCGTGGTACTGCAAATGTACTTTATGCATACTGTTGAAGAGCACAATGACCACCTTTGTAGACCACTATTCAGCGGCTGACTATTGGTCCAGACTAGTGGTCATCGTGCTTCTCAACAGATACAGCAATACATTCCCAGCCGAAGGTAATGCTTCCAGCATATGCCGCCCGCGGATCCAACGGCTCATGTGGAGAGATACCGATGACGGGTTTTGCAAACTGTGTTAATACAGCAAAAAGTCCAGTCTCGAACTTCATTTCTTTATTTTTCGCCAGGTAAGCGGGTGATTGCAGGTGGGAGATCTCCCGTCACAGATCGGTATCTTACAAGTACGTACGTAGAATACTGTATACTGGCAGAACACCGTCAGTGTACGGGGGGATTTTTTTTAATTCATTCGAAGTGCCTTGATTAATATTTCTGTGGCCTACAAAGAGAGACTTCCCCCGTACCACACGTCCCGCATGGCACAAGGCCTTCGCGTTATCCTTCGTGTCTCTACTACAGAACACAAATCTCCCTCCGAATACCACCAGACGGGACCAAACTGTTGTACGGTAGTAGCAGTCTCGGACGATTGAGCCTCCAAATGGTACGCACCACCATCCAGAAAACACCCCAGCCACGCTATACTGACTTCTACATAGAAAATTCGAATGACAGAAAGTATTAAGAGGCCTCTTCGAAGAGATCCCTCACTCGTATGGTCTCTCCTATTCCTCATCTTCGAAAGAAAGCGGTGGGTGGGCGGGAGAAGAGCTACGACATGCTTGCGAGCTATCGTCCGAACTTCGATGTAGCTAGCTGCTGCCCCTCTCTGCCGCGTGACCCTCCAAAGCGGGCTGCGTGTTACTCACCGTGTCTTCCTTAACACGTGGCCCTTGGGCCCAGTGGACACGCGTCGATGCAAATTTTGCTGCAGGAGCAGCGAGACAGCAGATTGAGAACTCCGTGATATATTTCTCTTTGTAGGACCTCAGAAAACCGAACCAAGACATCCGAACCAACACGCCTCCAGGACGGCACAACAACAACCCAAATACATTCGTAGATCTGGGAGATGTTCTTCCGTGCTCAATAAATTACTGCACATTCGGTCTATATTTTCTTGTTGGCTGGTTTTGTGAGCTCACAGCGGCACTAGGGGGGGCAATTCGCGTCAGCAGGATACTATTGATGTGATATTTAAATGTGGGTATTCTGCCGCCTCTTCTATTGACCCCGGTCGCTGTTCTGGGACCGAATCTTCCTTGTTATACCGATCAAGCGTGTCATATGGAGTGCGGCTGTTGTGAAGCTTCTTCACCCTCATCTACAGCACACCCGGCACATAAGCACGTGCCGGCTGCCTGACCTCGTGAGAATTGATGAGCGGCGAGCTCACCGGGAAAGCCATGGTGCCCCTCTAATTCTTGTTGCGAACACACAATACGTTCAGGTTCAATTTGAACGTCGAACGCGAAACCTCGAACGTAGCGTAAGTAACACGGGCGCTGTGAAATCACAGATAAAACGACACCAGCAAAAATAAGCCAATAAAAGTATTGAGGAAAATAACTCTGCATGGTGTACGAGTTGAAAGTCACTGTTGTTGCTTTCTCTGTTCCGTTTTCGATCACTTGTAGAACGTATCGGGGTTTTTGACGAGGCCTCCTGTGTCGGCATGTTGACCTCTCCCCTCAGATATACAGGAAAGTGATCCAATGGTAGAGGTGTAACTTGGGAAACGCAACGTGGGAATTTGATTTATCATTAGGCCTGATGGGTGTCCCTTGTTATCTCGACCTTTCCACGCTTTGAATGACACAAGAACGGGTGGACTGGGGTTCTTGGCGGATAATATGTTCCCGCGCTGTTGGTTCCCCGATTTTGCATGGGAGATTGTGGTGGCAATAGTACGGCGCCAGGGGAGGAACCTGTTTTCTTTCACATTAAGCGTCAAATGTGTGCAAGGATTACAAGTCAGATGTGCTTGTTGCACAGACAACTGACAGCACGGATCACGACACTCTGTACTTGTGTGTGTACAGAGAATCAATTCTGATATGTGAGTGAGCCACACGCGGAGACCCATCACCGCTATCGATTAGTCCATGCTGGTGAAGGGCACAAGCGCTCTTAGTTTCCGCCTTTGTTGCAGCTTGCACCCGTGTTCTTCTACGCGTTTGTTAGCATATCATCTCAATGTGTGTGATCGCATGATTTCAATGGAAGCGGGGGGAAGAGACACGTTTTGACATCAAGCGTCAGGATTGTCGAGTGTCATGTCAAATACACTAGACCGGATAGCGACCGATTGCCTGTTCAACACCTTGAACTGTTAAAAGCATGAGGCCTTGGATTTTGTTTTTTTCTTCTTTTCGCTTTGCTCGTACATACACAAAACGATCTAATCTTTCGTCGCAATTTTTTTTGTGCATCTGGCAGGCTTTGGAACTGCTTTGCCCGGCCGTGATCATGCTTCTAGTCGGGAGCATTAAGAACACCATCGTCTCCGAAGTCACGGAAGAGACGGTGCCCACGTCGGACACACCGATTGCCACATACAGTGCCATGCAGAACATCTCCATCTTCCCCAACGTCCTCTGCTACGACAACAACATGTTTATGAGGTAAATATCCATACGAATTTTTCTGTCTGAAGCCTTGCGCGAATGGAAGTACTCTTAATGTGTTGAGGGCAAACGCGCTCCCACCGCTGGAATTCCTTCCGGTAGGTACGATAGGCGTTGTTTGTGTCGGTCTATAATGAATGTGATGAAGGTAATTGCTGGAAACGGAAGGCCTACATCCTGTTATGTGATTGGGAGTAAGAGCAAGAGAGCGACCGTAGAGTCCATCCGGTTAAATTTTGTCACAACGTGACTCCCACATTTTCTCGCTCAATATTTAAGAGTTGAGACGTGAAACAAAGTTGGCAAGAATAGCACGACCGAGACGCATCGAAATCCGGTGTCAAAATCAAATCGATGAAAATTGAGTTTTTTGAAAAAAATACCCCAGAATTGTCCCGAAATGGCACTTGTTACCCCGAAACGCCACAGCATACAATCTGAAGTGACATGGTCGTGTCCCCCGTCGACTATCCGCGCTTGCTTCTCTTCCCCTCTCAGCACCCACTCCGAAACAGCGAACAAGAATAACTTGTTTAGATAGGCAAATATAGAAATTACTGTTGTTGTATGATGTGGATGATGGTGCACCGTGTGGTCATGCGTGGAGTATGCACACACCAAACTTTGACGGGCCATGTCTCGCCACAAAAAGATCATGTCATGGGTACAGGTCCAGTTCGTCTGAATCCGTCGAATATTTGGAATTCTATCGATGATTAAGATCCGATGCATTTCTTCCCAAAAAACGAAACTTTAAGGTTACCTGGAAAGCGCCGTCTTGCCGATTTCTCCTTAGCATATAAGCGAAATGAACACTGAGTTGGATCCTCGTGAACTCCACCACGTGATACGCTCAAAACCGGTCTAAAATAAAAAAACGGACCTCACACTCGACCAAATAAAACCAAACAAACTCTTTCAAGATCTCGACGATATGTATCGCGATGTTCCCGCCAACCGAAAAAAACAGCTTTGACCAAACGATTCGCCTCAAACGGAGCGTTCTTACGATACGTCAGTCACTCGGCATAAATCCCAGAGTGATCCTGGGAGATGGCGGCAAAATTTAACCGCATGGACCATACTGTACCACGCTTTTTCACGAGTCTGCCGGGCCTGAAAAATAGTTTAATGTTTTCATTCCGCTTTTTTGGCTCACGTCGTTCGGCATCTTGCCCAGCGTACCACCACAGCCCCCACCGTCACCCCGCCATGAGCGAAACTGGTAGCAAGAGTGACGTCTGAAGTCGGCAGGGATTGGATGTTCCTCGCAAACAAGCACGCGCACCTGCAGCTGTTGTGTTCATCGGCTGTGCCATGAATTGAACGGACAGCCTAGTGGTTTCATCACACATTTATTTTGACCAAGTCAAGTGTGCCGCAAACGCCCTCCCCACCCCAACGTCAGCTGCTAAGTTCGTATTCAAACGCTTACGCCGGAAAAATCACGGGTAATGACTCTTCAGCTGCTCCCTTCATTCCGAGAAGTATCCTGCAAACATCTGTCGCTCTATGCGCAACGCCTGCGTACATGAACCCCGGTAACCCGTGGTGACACATAAGCGACTTCTCTGCGCAGTCTAAGGATAATACTGCAACTTCTCTGACTCCCAAGAACCGTTGCACTTTATGTTGTGTGCACGTTTCTGGCTGCATCGCCGTGAATGGAACGGGTATTATGGTTGATAACTGACGCTTTGCGGCTGCGACAGCAAAGCAGTGACACATTCCCTACCATTTATCTTAGGTACGTACGACTCGTATCGGTTTCGCTTGGTTTTCCTTGATTGTTTGGTTCCGTAATTGCCACACAGGTGCGGCTGTCACCTCGACGAGGACGCGTACTCAGCACCGGGCATCTATCTGACCGGGCTTGGCGTTGACACGACCGGAGTGGTAAGAGACGATACTCGCAACCAAGAGAGCGCCAACCTTGGTATACCTGATCACACCGGCGTACCTCGTTGTTGTGCTTTCCATTTCAGTACACCTGCCTAAGCTGCACAGTTCAAAGAATCTGCACATGTTCGTCAACGTTCTTGTTTGCCTGTTGGTCCCAAGCGCGCGCTGACCCGCGTTCCAACAACGAGACAAAGCAACCCCATGCCGACGTCAACAACAACAACGATGGCGATGACGGTAACGACGGCAAACGCTAGCAAGGCTTGTTCTCCACCCTGACTGTTGTGTTCGAAATTGCACAACTCGTCGAACCGTTACCCTCCCCGCCGTTGTGGGTTTTGGTTCGTCTCCTGCTCCGCCGCAGGCCATGTGGGCGACGCAGCACGACGCGAACACCCTGATCTTCTTCTGCACCGCCGCAGTTTCCGCGCTCTCTGGGTCAAGCTCGAACACTTCCCCAACGGACGCGTGCGCCATCGCCAAGGTGTGTGCAAGAAGAAAATGGGCAGCTTGCCGTTTGTCCTCTCGCGCCCATTTTTCCGTTTTGCACTTCAAGAACTGTTACTCGAGATCCCTCGTCGTCGCTAGCCTGCTCGACGCACAGGTGAGTTAGCATTCCTAGTGTCAAACCACAACAGTATTTATATCGGGGGGTGGGAGTGAGTGACGTATTTTCTCTCGACTTTCATGGATAAACAACAACGAGATGAGTCAGCATCAGAGGTTGTGGGTGGATCGGCGGGTGTGTACGAAGTGTGTGGGCAGGAATGTCGGCAGTGTTGTCTTCGCTCGTTGTTTGTGCCGCAAGGATCACGCGGTTATTTCCAAGTGACGGTTGGATAGTTCCACGGCTACGCGTGGTTAGCCAACCCGCTAGCTAGAGTTGGGGGGAGTAGTCATTGGTTGCCTATCCTTCGTATTTAACTATCTACGAAACACCCGCCTTTCAAGGCGAACAAACATCTGTTCATTCCTACTCCTGCTAGAGGGGTCACCGACGTTTGGCCTTTCTCTACGTTTCCGCCATATGCTTCACGGACGCAGGGGGTGTGTGTGTACTCATAGTCGTGCATGCCGTAGTCGTTAGACCATTGACCTTGCATCCCTACAAAGCCGGGACGGAGCACGCCGGGTTCTCACCGGACCAGGCTCTCACATCACCAAGCGCGAAGCGCNAACACAACGTGGTGCGATCATCCCCCTTGCGCGGAGTGAGGGTTCTCGACCCCGCACAACATGATCTACTCGACCACCATTGTGGTTAACGCCAAAAAAAAACCGGAGGTAAAAAAAGACACGGTAGCCTGGTTGCCGAGCTCACGAAGTGAATTGGCTTGTTTTACAACGTCGTTGCCAAGCGACGAAAACCCAACCCCGGTGGCAAACGCCGGGGGGCGGGGGGCGTGTACTCATGGTCGTGCATGCCGTGGTCGTTAGACATTTGACCTCGCATCCCTACAAAGCCGGGACGGAGCACGCCGGGTTCTCACCGGACCAGGCTCTCACATCACCAAGCGCGAAGCGCCGTGAGATATTCGGCGAGTCGCATGAAGGGTGCGCTGCATCCTGCTAAGGGTGTTCGGCATCTTGTGCTTACTTCCTTGCGTACGGATGACAGCTGCGTATGACTTAATTTATTTTCTGGTGCTTTCACTTCCAGAGACAGTTGTAAGCACTGTGTAACTGCCTCGAGGGTGCTTGACCATTTTAACACAACGTGGTGCGATCATCCCCTTTGCGCGGGGTGAGGGTTCTCGACCCCACACAACATCATCTACTCGACCACCATTGTGATTACCGCCAAAAAAAAAACGGAGGCAAAAAAAAGAAACGGTAACCTGGTTGCCGAGCTCACGAAGTGAATTGGCTTGTTTTACAACGTCGTTGCCAAGCGACGAAAACCCAACCCCGATGACAAACACCAGGGGGGGGGGGGCAATCGGAAGTTCCTTTTTCAGGAACATGTCCTGCTCGCTCTAGGTGCAAATTTCGCGCGCCGTGCCTTCTCTTTATGCCACCTGCTCTCATGTTGTCTAAACTCCAGTTTATCTTCAAGGTCTGCGACGCTCCGGCGCTGGGTTTCGACGTAAGCACGATGGGACCGGATACCCTCAACGATGCTTGCGGGGCGGGGACCTCAGAGATGGACTTCTCCGCGGCGGATTACCTAAGCACGATCGAGTTCGCCATCGACCTTCTGGAGAGCGTGGTCAGTCTCTCCATCCCCGCCGACGAGATCAACGATACTTGCGAGGTTCGTTAAGGGTGTTTCATCAATCAATTTCTGAGAAGGGTGCTGATGAAGACCAGCAGCAGCGGAGAGCATCGACTGTTTTTCAAGTCGCTTGACCCAGTCAGTTAGGTTTCCTGACCCTTTTTCTCTCGCCTCGCACGGCGGTGCCGTTCTGTCCATTTGCAATAGCTGTATTTTTTTTTTTAGAGACAGGGTCCAGAGGTTGAGTGGGCTGTCTTGGCTCGGATTTGTGCGTACCAGGTGTCACGAGGCGGAGATGGTGTGGATTTCCTTGAGATTCAAGCTGTACAAGGAGAAGAGTGCTGCATTCGAAGCTAGCCGCGTGGTGTGTTTGCATACGTATGACACAGCAGTAAATACTTCAATTGTGGCACGCCCGGGGTTGTGAGAGGTGATGTCTTCAGCTGGGCACTTGCCATATGCATGGTCCCCTGGGCGGAACATACTCCTAGCATAACGGTGTCACTGTCAAGTGGTGTTCTGTGTGATGGAACTTTTCCCCAGTGTTTCCCAAGTGGCAAAGTTGAGCCAATCCTGGAAGTTGTTCTTGAGACAATTCTGTATCAATGGTGTCATTCACAGGGCACCTAAGCTTAGGTAGCAAAAGGTAAATAGGACGCTCGGCTTGCAGAAGATTGAGTGGTAGACAGACGTTAGCGCGGTGTCACCCAAGGTTTTGTATCAGGGAGGTTTCTAAGTTTAATGTATCCTACAATGGAAATATCAAAACAGCGTTCCAACAACTTTGTTCTTATCCAGAGAAATATCCAAGTACATGTCATCGTGGTCGTCATCGGTGTGGCTGTTGGTGACGGTTCTATTGGCATTATCGGTGGCGATATAGGTTTGGTACCGGCGTTGCTGACAATGGAGTTCTTCTTTGATGGTTGCGGTAATGATATGCTTCGATCTTTCTCTTCCGCTGATCCCCCCGAAGCCAATGACCCTTCCAGGTCTTCACAAAGAAAAACAACCAAGTTGCGGCACACGCCCCCCCTTCACCGCCCT